CACAACCACCACCACCACCACAACCACCACAATCACCACAACCACCACCACCACCACAACCACCACCACCACCACAACCACCACAATCACCACCACCACCACAACCACCACAATCACCACAACCACCACCAGCACAGCACAAGAGAAGGGCACTCACCTCGCTCGTCAGGTTGGCATGGTCACCGGAAGTGGGGTCTAGAAGCCCTGGCCTCTGATCAAGGTCAAGGTCAGGAATGTACATCTCGACGTTGATGATGTTCACAGGGAGATCTGGCGCGAACTGACCTGGGGAACAGGGAATGGGCGGGACACGTGATCAAGGCTTGCTTGTTGGTTCTTCCTTTTGGTACGTTTTACTAATTATTAGATATTCATTAATTGTGAGGCATACTGACAAAATGAGTTGCTTCTTGCTATCCAAGGTTCAAAGGTCAGGGTCAGGGAGAAGGGTTCAGAGGTTAGAACAAAAGGAAAAGTTCTGAGGTTTGAGTAGAATAAAAGGTCCAGAGGTTGTGGTCTGAGAGATGGGTTCAACGATTACAACAGAGCAAAAGGTCCAGAGGTTAAGGTTTGAGATGTGAGGTCACAGGTCAGGGGTCAAGCGTCAGGGGTCATAGGTCAGAGGTCAGAGGTCAGCGGTCAAAGGTCACTCGTCACATGTCACAGATCACATGCCACAAACCGCAGGTCACAGGTCACAGGTTAAATGTCAATGGTCAAAGGGTTGTGGTCATAGGTCAGAGGTCATGTGTCAGAGGTCACCTGTCACCGGTCACAGGTCACGGATCACAGGTCAGTGGTCACAGGTCACAGGTCAAGCTCACCTTCAGCCATGACGACCAGCATCAGGCCTAGGGCCGCGCACACAGCAGCCTTCATGCTGCCCCCGACCGGAAGTCTCCAAGGGGCGGTGGCGCTTCCTGAAAAAACACATAGAGAATAGGACACCTGAAAATTGTGCCTCGAAAAAAATCTTTGCATCAAAAATTCAATATTTGATGTTATAACCATAATCATAATAGTAATAATAATAATAATAATAATAACAATAACAA